CGCGCAGTCTTTCCTCTAAGTCCTTGAAGTCGCACGGTTTAGCTGCTCTTCTCAAGGCCGCAACGTAATCTTTTGCTGATTCTCCAACTCGCTGATCTCTCTGTTGAAATGTGTGCCTCCAAGCCATGACAGATTGCTTGGGCTGGAAGTGTTCCTTTAAAGTTTTCTTCAGGTCGGAGTATGATACCGTTTCCAGCGAATCTGGGGCGATTAAGCTCTCGGCGATCTCAAAGGCGTCTTGCCCACAAACGCACAACAATGTGGCAGCCTTTAAGCCTTCCTCTCGAATCTGGTTTATGCGGAAATACGTCTCGACTCTTGCCACATAAGATTCCCACCTCTCGGGGTGAGAGACGTCGAACTCCGCTAAACGCCCAACTTTCGCCATGATCGAAGATCAGGTTTCTTCTTCTTCAGCCACACGCACCCTCCAGCGATTTCGTACTGGCAGGATAACACTGACTTCCACGCCATTTCTCTTCCGGACTTCTTTGGGTGAGTCTTCTAGCTTTTCCTAGCTGTAGAGACTGAATCCCACCTTTGTCGCCAGTGTTAAGTCCGGAGAATAATGGCGCTTGAGACGAAGCATTTCTAACAAGTCTTTATTCTCTGCTTACAATCTACGAACAACCCGAGCAGAGGCACGCAGGCCTCTATTTATACCTTCTGATCCCCGGGCAAGTTCAACCAATCATGAGGCGGGCTTTTCCCGCCTTGCGCATGCGCACAAGGCCGGCGCCGCTCAGTCTGGTCCCGGGCAGCTTCTGCAAATGCCCGGGACTCTTGCAACATCCCGAGCCTGCCTCTTGCAGGCTCAGGACACAACACACTTTGCATACAGTTTAATACAATGTGATTTTGTACAACACCTGATCAAGTATTATTATTATTGATCATCGCACAGTCAGCCAGATGTTCAGACTGGATTTGGCATTTTGTCTACCTATCGAGTCCTTACCAAGGACCTGGGATAGGCAGATGTGGATGTTTGATGGTATTACAGATATCGTCGCAGGATGAAAGCAGTTCCTAGTAAGGCCGCCTTTTGCAATTGACTAATGGCGAATTTGTCAATGCCAATGGTGTTCAA